ATATATATATATATACAAGGACAAATAAGAAGTTGACTCTATATGTACTTGACTTGGTTTTAAGCTTCCAGTTTCTGGGCTTATACGGGATGAAGAGAGATTGTACTTGTATGCCTTTTGCAAATCACAAAACCGGGCACGTGTTTTGAAACAAGTCGCTGTTGATGTTGAGGGCTGGCAAATCAATGCAGCACTCAGAGCTTGATGCGTAACTAAATTGTTGGTCCGACAGCCATCTAGATCTCAGCAAACAAGCAAGCAAGGTAAGTAGGTGCAATACAAGACTCAGCGGCATACACCCAGCAATATGTGGCTGACAACACTACATGTGTACATGCAAAACGACAGCTATTAATCAGGTCCAGCACACCACTACTTGCGCTGTCGATGTTGGCAGCTTTCGCAATCTCGGTGTTGTAAGTGTCGAATGCTCTGAGCACATCTCCATTCAGGGGGCTGGACCGGGCCTGTCGCTGGAGCTGGCCGACATCGAGGATCGAGGTCATCATGTCGGCCGACGGTCGCGCTCGCACCGACAGGCGTTGCTCCACTGTCGCTTCGGTCTCATCCACCACTTCCTCTTCCACCGTCACCCAAAACTTCGTCTCGGGCAAGCAGCCCGGGGCATCGACGTCTTCAACACCCCCGCCACGGCTGATGATGGACTCGACCTTCTGCCTTGAATGGCTGATCAAGACATGAAATCATTATACAGGCACCGATCATTCCAGCCAGCCACCGGGAGAAACTGTATCTAGGAGCACATTGGTACGTTGATCAAAACATCCAGTCATTGCAGAATCACACTAGAAACAGGAAGAATGACACGCCGACCATTCCAGCAGGCACTGCGAGAATTGTAGGCTTGTAGGAGCACATATTGGTTGATGAGAAGTAACGAATCACTGCAGAAACACAAGCTAGCCACCAAGAAAATGACAACGATTCCACCAAGGCACTTCGAAAAGTGATACGGTGCATTGAGCATGTCTTTGACAGCCACGAGTCGCCGCCTGCGGCGCCCCGTGGCTGTGTTCTTCCTCGAAGCAGTCACCTGGGCCTCGCAAGCCTGAAGGTTCTCCCCTGAGGAGATCCAGCGGCGGAGGAGCTCGCCTCGCTCCTAATTTGTCAATGGTCTTTGAAAGCATTGCGATCTCGTGATCCTGTACACATATACGATATAGGCCCGCCGGACCCACAACACACAACCATCCTAAAGGTAACAAGGAATAAATGGTCGAAACTTAACTGAGGTTGATTGCGCGAGAAGCTTTCATCGTTCCATCGGCCAGCAACGACATGTTCGGGCAGCGCTCGGCCACGATGCCATTGTCGATGAGGCGCTTCTGCAAGGAGTTTTTAGAGAAGCTTGAGTCTTCAAAGAGCTTTAACTCGTGTTTTCGGGCTACTTTGTCTAGCAGACACCGCATGCAGCACACACAAGCACACAGACACACACACACACACATGGCTTCAGACGAGGTTCGAGTCGCATGTACTCACGTTTGTGCGTGGTGGAGTTAACCACCACTTCTTCACGAGCAGGCTCATTAAAGACATGAACCTTCGGCACACCGGAAGCCGCAGCAGTCGACGAGGGAGCATCAAGGGAGTCCGACGACTGAAGGCGAAGCAAGGGCGGGGGGTTCTTGGCACGAACAGGCGTAGCAACTGGCTTGGACCTGCCCTTGGCTCCCTTCCCCTTCGGATCATCCTCCTCTCCATCCTTGGTTGCATCCTCCTCGGGCTCCTTTCCATCAAGGACATCCTCTTCCTCCTCAGACCCTTCCTCCTGAGCTTCATCCTCCTCCTCAGCTGCATCCTCCTCCAGTCCCTTTCCATCCTCCTCCTCCTCATCAGCTGCATCCTCCTCCAGCTCCTTTCCATCCTCGTCCTTCAGCTCCTGTTCATCATCCTCACCTTCATCGTTCAGCCTCTGTCCTTCCTCCATCTCCTGTCCCTCCTCCTCCTTCGCTCCATCCTGCTCGTCATCATCGAAGCTGTTAAGCATCTCCTCCAGCTCACATTCAATGTCATCGGGCTCACACAAACCCTCCACAGCTGGATCGGCCGAAGGAGCTCCAGTTGCCTTTGCATCCTCGGGCTTGTGGGCCGCCGCGATCAGCTCAGGCAGGATGGCACAGGGCTTGGGGGGCAATTTCAATCCTTTGGCCATGGCTTGCTCCTCCAGGGCACTCTGATACTTTCGCATGTCCTCCAAGGCTTGTAGGAGTTCAGCCGCTGGCTGCGTAGACCCAACTTGGGACACCGAGGCCCCCAACCTGAAACACAGAATGGAGGAGGGACGGAGGCACGGAGGGAGGGATAGACAGAAAAAAGCGAGAGCGAGAGCGAGATTGATGAGAGACAGAGGCAAACCTAAAACAGGGCGCTATTTTAATACACTCCTTCCCTCAGCCTCAAGAAGGAGAGAATTGATAGGGTCGGAAGTGACCAGAATAAGTGAGTATATAGATATATACATATATATATATATATATATGATTAACACCATTATAAGTGAAGTGCAAAAGAAGCAACCCTTCCATCAACTGGGAGTCCGTCTCCTTAAGGGTTGCTGTGGAATTGCGGCGCTTCAAGGCCGACTTCTGCATCTGAAGCTGCTGCTCTGCTCCCTCGAGCGTGCCGCAGGACCTGGGAAATTAAGCCTAAAACGGTGTACATTCAATGCCAACTGGAAGCGTAGAGCAACACAATTAGGCAGCTAGATGATTAGAGTCGAGTGTCCACCCACTGGAAAGGGTCTGGGTCTCACAGTTGTCCATTGACAAGTCGTGGCCACCACGATCAGCATCATCCACAGCCTTTCGCGAAACCTTCGGCACAGCAGGCTCCACAGCTTTTCCAGAAGCCTTTGCAGTAGCTTGCGCAGTCTTGGCAACCTTGGCGCTTGGCTCCACTCCGCTTTCCGAAACCTCAGCCGGCACAGACGGCTCGACAGTCCTTTTCGAAGCCTTCGCCGCAGGCGTGGAAACCTTGGTTGGCACAGCCACCACAGCCTTTGCCGAAACCTTTGGCACAGCAGGCTCCAAAGCCTTTCCAGAAGCCTTCGGCACAGCCACCTTTGCCGAAACCTTGGGCACAGCAGGCTCGACAGCTTTTGCTGAAACCTTGGCCGCAGCAGGCTCCACAGCCTTTCCCGAAACCTTGGCCTTAGCAACAGGCTCCACAGACTTTGCAGAAGGTTCACACGCCTTCTTCCTGGATTTCTTGCTAGCTTCAGAACCGTCGGGGCCCGCTGGGGCCTCAACAGACTTGCTAGCCTCATTTGCTTTGCGCTTCTGAACCCCTTCGTGCATGCGCAGAAGCCCCTCCAAATCTACCTTGGTTGCTGTGGGATCCTCGGAAGACCCAGGTCGCTGGTCCCGTGTGGGGGCGCTCGGGGCCTTTGGGGCTGCAGGTTCCTCGGCAGCCTCTGGCAAAGCCTTGGCTTTGCCCTTGGCTTTGGCCTTGGCTTTGGCCTTTGGCTTCGGCACAAAGGGCATCTCAGCAAGGTTGGATTCCTTTCTCAAGCGAAACATGACCTCAACGGCTTCGAGATACGAAATCTCTTCATCGTGCATCAACTGATCCAAAGTGATGTCTGACTTGGGAAGCAGAGGAGTGTCTCGCGGGAAGGGTTCCTCACCAGCTTTGATCATGTTCAACACACTGCCTTTCTTGAAGGACATACTCAGATTCGCGCTGGTACTCGACCCGCTTGCATTACTGCCCGACATCGCTTCCGAAAGCACAAACAGAAGCCTAGCCTCGCACGATCCTTGAGCTCACATGTACTGCATGCAAGAACGATATGACTGACAGCTCCTTGCAGAAGAATCACATGCTCATGCAGCCACAACAGTGCACTTCGAGAACAGGTGCAGTCAGCAGCAGGGGCACACCACCAGCACCAGAACCACTATGAGTCACAGACAGACATCGCACCAAAAGGAATATAAGACACAGCACCACGTAGCAGCAGGATGCATCAGTAACCAACAACAGCGGCAACGACAACAACAGCAACAGCAACAGCAACAACAACAACAACAACTTCAACAACAAC